CTAAGTCTCAAATGTGGTCTTGTTAGAGGGCAGGGTCCTTGTTGCACTGTCTGGAGATTGCTTCTCCCACTCTCTCTCAGGTTTTAGTGCCATCCTACTGGCATACACATGGAGTGGCTGGCTCAGCTTCTCTCTATCTTATCCAAGGACACTCTAGAATCTAAGTGTGTTCTTGAGAGGAATAAGCTTCTTTAAGAGGGTTTGGTTACCAGAAATAATAGAATTATAAGATTTTAAAAATCAAAGATGACCATAAAATACTTATTTTATATATGAAGACACTGAGGCTCAGAGAAGTTAAGTAATTTGTTCAAATTTTTATAGTACAATAGTATCTATTTAGGATAATCATACAAGTTTCTATATTTCTAATTGCCCTTTTCTATTGAATCTTTTTGAAATCAGGAAGAAGACAATCTTTTGATCAATAACTATAGGTGGGTTAAGAAAGACTCAAGAATTACCTGGTTTAATATCTGGCAGTAGTAGCCACTCCAAGAGAAAATGGCTCTGAGTCAGTTTTAGAAAATGATCAGGGTAACAAAAATGCACAAAGAAATTGTAGTGCCCTAGTGCACATTCCCCAGTGCTCTTTAGTTCTCTCTTTTAATACGTAAAAATTTTATGTACCTTTTATTTATTTATATTGTTTAAGCTGTTACAATTCCCATATTTCTCCCCTTCCTCACCCAGCCTCACCCTCTCTCCACCCTGCACCAGTCCCCACATTGTTGTTTGTGTTCATGGGTGGTTCATGAATGTTCTTTGGTTAATAACTTCACCACCATTCATCTCATCTGCCCCCCTCCTTTCCAGAAGCTGTCAGTCTGTTCTGAATATCTTATTTTTTAATCTACTCAGATAAAAATAAGTTTCTTCTTTTTTAAATCTTAAAAAAATCTTATTGTTTATGCTATTACAGTTTTCCCACTTCCCCCCATTGCTCACCTTCACCCAGCCTGCCCCCACTTTCATAATCAGTCCCCTCACTGTTGTCAATGTTCATGGGTCCTTCATATATGTTTCCTTAACTATCCCTTCACCTTCTTTCAATCAGTTCATCCTCCCACTTCCCCTCTTACAGCTGTCAGTCTGTGCCATAATTCTATGCTTCTGGTTCTAATTTGCTCATTAGTTTATTTTGTTCATCGATTCCTCTTGTAAGTGAGATCATATGCTATTTGTCTTTCACAGACTGGTTATTTCACTTAGCATAATGCTCTCCACTTCCATCCATGCTGTCACAAAAGGTAAGATGTCCTTCTTTCTTTCAGCTGCATAGTTTCCACTGTGGAGATTTACACAGTTTCTTTATCTACTCATCTACTGATGGGCACTTACACTGATTCCAAATCTTACCTATTGTTAATAGCACTGCTATAAACATGGGGGTACTCCTTGGAGAAGTGTTGATAGCAGTCTTCTGCTCATTTTCAAATTGAATTTGTATTCTAGGTGTTGTGTCGAATAAATTATTTATATATTTTGGAGATAAAACATTTGTCCAATGTGTCTTTGGCAAATATATTCTCCCATACAGTTGATATTCATTTTGATCATTGTTTATTTAGCTGTGCAGAAGCTTTTTAATTTGATGTAGTCCCATTTGTTAATTTTTTTCTTTATTTCTCTTGCCCTAGGTGACATATTGGCAAAAATATTGCTACACAATATTGTCTTTCACACCAGCCATCCAGAATTTTGCTGCCTTTGTTTTCCACTAGGATTTTTATAGTAGCACACTCATATTTAAATCTTTTGTGCATTTGGAGTTTATTCTGATGTATGGTGTAAGATGGTGGTCTAGCTTTATTGTTTTTTGGTAAGTACCAGTCCAATTCTCCCAAAACCATTTACTGAAGACTGTCTTTTCTCCATTTTATGTTCTTGCCTCCAATGTCAAATATTAATTGGCCATAAAGACATGGGTTTATTTATTTTTTAAGATTTTATTTATTTACTTTTAAAGAGGGAGGAAAGAAGAGGGAACAAGAGGGAGAGAAACATCAATGTGTGACGGCTTCTCACATACCCCCAACCAGGGATGTGGCCCAAAACCAAGCCATGTACCCTGACTGTGAATTGAACTGGGGACCTTTCAGTTTTCAGGCTTGTGTCAAATTAGATAACCCACACCAGCCAGGGAAAAACATGGGTTTATTATTTTATTTATTTATTTACTTTTATTATTGTTGGGAACCACTCTGCCTAGTTTCAGGAGTTGTAATTGCCCCAATGGCTAAGGCTGAGTGAGCGACCTTTGGGCTGTGAGCCACTAAGGAGACAAAGCTTGTCTCTGGCAGCAGTACTGCTTCTGTTTCATCCCCTACCCCCAGTGCTTGGTTGGTTAGTCTATGACGGGTAAGACCCCTCAGAGGGAGGGCAACCTAAGCCAGACATGATCGCTTGGGAGGCCATCAAGGAAGGACTTGGGGGGCTGCAACCAAAAGGGAGTGATGGACCCTCACCCCCAGGCTATTCTGACATGGCCCAAGTCCCCATTTCCATCTGGGAGAAGTGCTTCCTGGTTCTAATTCACTTAAGCCTGAAAACCTATGATGGGGGAGACAGTGGAGCCCCTTGCCAGCTAGAGCAGGATCAGGGGTGATTGGGCATAAGAAAGAATTCCTAAAGTCCTGTGAAGCCTGCTTTGCTAAGAGTGCTTTCATTCATATGCTAAGGGTCCGAGCAGGAAATGAGTATGTCTCCCAAAGTTTTTGCCACCCCCTTACCTGACAGACACTGACTCAGACTAAGCCCTCAGATTTCTTTGAAATGTTATCTACTGTTTGATCCTTGCCACCTGTATTCCTGTGTATTACAACCAAATAAAAGCCATTGAGGAAGGGGTTCTTGGTCTTTCTCCTCTGAGAGATTGGCCACCTCTCCTCTCCAAGCAGATCATGTCTTGGTAGTTTCACTTTCATCTGTTGCAGATGGGGGGACTTTGTGGGCAAAGTTGCCCCCACATTATTTTTTTTAATGTATTAATTTTAATTGTTGTTCAAGTACAGTTTTCTGTCTTTTACTGCCATCCCAGCTCACTACCCCAATGCTCCCCACCTCCCTTCCATTTCCACCCCCTCTAGTTTTTGTCCATGTGTCCTTTATACTTGTTCTATATACTGTCCTTTATACTGTAAACCCTTCTTCCACTTTTCCATTGAAATTACCTCCCCTCTCCCCTCTGATCCCTGTCAGCCTGTTCTGTATTTCAGTGTCCTTGGCTATATTTTGCTTGCCTTTTTGCTTTGTTGTTTAGCTTCCTGTTAAAGGTGAGATCATATGGTATTTGTCTTTCACCACGTGGCTTATTTTACTCAGCATAAAGCCTTCCATTTCTATTCATGCTCTTGCAAAGGTTAGGAGCTCCTTCTTTCTTTCTGCTGCATAGAATTCCATTGTGTAAATGTACCATAGTTTTTTGATCCATTCATTTATTGATGGGCACCTACATTGCTTCCAACTCTTGGCTATTGTAAATTGTGCTGCTATGAACATTGAGGTGCATAGGTTCTTTTGGATTGGTGTTTCAGGGTTCCTAGGATGTAATCCTAGCAGTGGAATTGCTGGGTCAAAAGGCAAATCTATTTTTAGTTTTCTTAGAAAACACCATACTATTTTCCATAGTGGTTGTACCAGTCTTCAATCCCACCAACCATGAACTTGGGTCCCCTTTTCCCTACAAACTCTCCAACACTTGTTTGTTGTTTTATTTATGATGGCCATTCTGGCTGGTGTAAAATGGTATCTGATTGTGGTTTTAATTTGCATCTCTCTGATAGCTAGCAATATTGAGCATCTTTTCATGTGTCTCTGGATTCTCTGTATGTCCTCCTTGGAGAAGTGTTTTTTCAAGTCCTTTGCCCATTTCTTAGTTGGGTTGCTTGTCTTAGAGTGGAGATGTGTAATTTCTTTGTATATTTTGGATATTAAACCCTTGTCTGAGGTATCATTGGAAAATATGTTTTGCCATACAGTTGGTTCTCTTTTTATTTTAATACTGTTTTCTCTAGCCATGCAGAAGCTCTCCATTTTAATGAGATTCCATTTATTTATTCTTTCCTTATGTTGCTGTAGGGGACATGTCAGTAAAAATGTTGCTGCATGAAATATGTAAGATTTTCCAGACAGTGTTCTCCTCTAGGACTTTAATGGTGTTTCAGCTTATATTTATCCACCTTAATTTATCCACCTTAATTTATTTTGGTGTATGGTGCAAGTTGGTCCTCAAGTTTCATTTTTTTTTTTTTTGCACATAGCTGGCCAGTTCTCCCAACACCATTTGTTGAAGAGGCTATTATTAGTCCATTTTAGGTTGCTGCCCCCTTTGTCAAATATTAATTGACCATAGAGACTTGGGTTTATTTCTGAGCTCTCTGTTCTGTTCCACTGGTCTATGTGCCTGTTTTTATGCCACTACCAGGCTGTTTTGATTATAGTGGCCTTGTAAACAGTTTGGTATCAGGTATTGTGATCCCTCCTACTTTGCTCTTCTTTTTCAAAATCACAGCTGCTATCTGGGGTCATTTATGGTTCCATAAAAATTTTTGAAGTGTTTGTTCTATGTCTGTGAATTATGCCATTGGTACTTTAATGGGTATTGCACTGAATCTGTAAATTGCTTTGGGTAGTTTGGACATTTTGGTGATGTTAATTCTTCCAGTCTATGAACACGGTATTGTTTCAATTTGTTTGTGTCTTCCTTGATTTCCTTCTTCAGTGTTGTGTGGTTTTCTGCATACAGGTCTTTTACCTCCTTGGTTAGGTTTATTCCTAGGTATTTTATTTTTCTTGTTGCTATAATGAATGGGATTTATTTCTTGATTTTTGCTTCTGCAGTTTGATTGTTGGTAAACAAAAATGCCTTTAATTCCTGGATATTGACTTTGTATCCTGCTGTTTTGCCAAATTCATTTATTAGTTTGAGCAGTTTTGGGGTAGAATCAATAGAATATTCCATGTACACTATCATGTCATCTGCAAATAGTCACTATTTTAAAAATATGGAGTGCTTCACAAATTTGCATGTCATCCTTGTTCAGGAGCCATGCTATTATTCTCTGTATCATTCCAATTCTAGTATATATGCTGTTGAAGTGAGCACCCATCATTACTTTTTCAGATAGGTTTTCTATCCCTTGTTGTTCTTCTTCTCCTGGTATCCCTATTATTTGAATATTATTACATTTCATGTTGTCTTGCACTTCTCTCAGTCACTCTTCATTGTTTTTTTAAAATTTATTTAATTATTTTTCAAGTACAGTTTTCTGTTTTTTACTCCTATCCCAGCCCACCTCCCAAGTGCTCCCCACCTGCCTCCCATTTTTCTCCACCTTAGTTTTTGTCCATGTGTCCTTTATACTAGTTCCTGTGAATCCTTCCTCTTTGCCCCTGAAATTCTCTCTCCTCTCCCCTCTCATCCCTGTTAGCCTGTTCTGTATTTCAGTGTCCTTGGTTATATTTTGTTTGCTTGTTTGTTTTGTTATTTAGGTTCCTGTTAAAGGTGAGGTCACCTGGTGTTTGTCTTTCACCACCTGGCTTGTTTCACTCAGCATAATGCTTTCCAGTTCCATTCATGCTGTTGCAAAGAGTAGTAGGTCCTGCTTTCTTGCTGCTGCTTAGAATTCCATTGTGTATATGTACCATAATTTTTTGATCCACCCATTTACTGATGGGCACCTAGGTTTCTTCCAATTCTTGGCTATTGTAAATTGTGCTGCTATGAACATTGGCGTGCATAGGTTCTTTTGGATTGGTGTTTTAGGGTTCTTAGGATATACTCCTAACAGTGGAACGGCTGGGTCAAAAGGCATATTCATTTCTAGTTTTCTTAGAAAATTCCATACTATTTCCCATAATGGTTGTACCAGTCTTCAATCCCACCAACAGTGAACTAGGGTCCCCTTTTTCCTACCACCTTTCCAGCATTTGTTGTCTGTTGCTTTGTTTAAGATGGCCATTCTGGCTGGTGTAAAGTGGTATCTCATTGTGGTTTTAATTTGCACTTCTTTGATAGCTAGCAACATTGAGCATTTTTTCATATGTCTCTGGGTTCTCTGTATGTCCTCCTTGGAGAAGTGTCTGTTCAAGTCTTTTGTCCATTTTTAATTGGGTTGTTTGTCTTCCTGGAGTGGACTTCATATATTTTGGAGGTCAAACCCTTGTCTGAAGTCTCACTGGCAAATATGTTTTCCCATATGATTGACTCTCTTTTTATTTTAATGCTAAATTCTTTATCCATGCAGAAGCTTTTTATTTTGATGAAGCCCCATTTATTTATTCTTTCCTTTTATGTTCCTTCCTTTAGGGGACATATCAGTGAAGATATTGCTGCATGGAATGTATGAGATTTTCCTGCATATGTTTTTCTCAGTGAATTTTATGGTGTCACAACTTGTATTTAAGCCTTTCATCCACCTTGAATTTATTTTTGTGTATGGTTTAAGTTGGTGATCGAGTTTCATTTATTTTTGCTTGTAGCTGTCCAGATCTCCCAACAGCATTTGTTGAAGAGGCTATTTTGTTCCATTTTATTTTGCTGACCCGTTTGCCATATATTCACTAACCATACAGAGATGGGTTTATTTCTGGGCTCTCCATTCTGTTCCATTGGTTCATGTGTCTGTTCTTATGCCAGTACCAGGCAGTTTTCTTTATAGTGGCCTTGTAATACAGTTTGGTATCAGGTATTGTGATCTCTTCTACTTTTCTCTTCTTTCCTAAAATTGCTGCAGCTACTCAGGGTCATTTAAGGTTTCATATAAATTTCTGAAATGTTTGTTCCATATCTATGAAATATGTCACTGGTACTTTAATAAGGATTGCATTGAATCTATAAATTGCTTTGGATAGTATGGAAATTTTGATGATGTTAATTCTTCCAGTCCATGAACATGGTACATGCTTCCATTTGTGTGTTTTCCTTAATTTCTTTCTTCAGTGTTATGTAATTTTCTGAGTACAGGTCTTTTATCTACTTGTTAGGTGCACTCCTAGGTACTTTATTTTTCTTGTTGCTATATCAAAAGAGATGTTTTTTCTGATTTTTGTTTCTGATATTTCATTGTTGGTGTACAAAAATGCCTTTGATTTCTGAATGTTTACTTTGTATCCCACTGTTTTGCAAAATTCACTAATTAGGTCAAGCAATATTTTCGTGGCATGTATATAATTTTCTTTTTTTCAAATATATATTTTTATTTTCTTGATTATGCCATTACAGTTGTCCTATTCCCCCCTTCATTTCCCTCCACCCTGCACACCCTCCCCCACCATTTCCCCCCTTTAGTTCATGAACACGTGTCTCAAGCTCTTTAGATTCTGTATTTCCCCTACTATTCTTACCCTCCCCCCTAACTATTTTCTATCTACTGTCTATGCTACTTATTTTCTGTACCTTCTCCTTCCTTCTCCACCTCCCTCTCCCCTGTTGCTAACCCTCCATGTGATCTTCATTTCTATGGTTCACTCCTGATGTAGCTGTCTTCTTAATTTGCTTTTGTTTCAGGTGTGGTTGTTAATAACTGTGAGTTTGCTGTCCTTTCACTGTTCATCTTTTTTATCTTCTTTTTCTTAGATAAGTCCCTTTAACATTTCATATAATAAGGGCTTGGTGATGATGAACTCCTTGAATTTGGTCTTATCTGAGAAGCACTTTATCTGTCCTTCCATTCTAAATGAAAGCTTTGCTGGATAGAGCAATCTTGGTTGTAGGTCTTTGGATTTCATGACTTGGAATACCTCTTTCCAGCCCCTTCTTGCCTGTAAGGTCTCTTTTGAGAAATCAGTTGACAGTCTGATGAAAACTCCTTTGTAGGTGACTGTTCCCTTATCTCTTGCTGCTTCTAGGATTCTCTCCTTCATTTTAATCCTGGCTAATGTAATGATGATGTGCCTTAGTGTGTTCCTTCTTGGGTCCAACTTCTTTGGGACTCTCTGAGCTTCCTGGATTTTCTGAAAATCTATTTCCTTTGCCAGAACGGGGAAGTTCTCTTTCATTATTTGTTCAAATAAGTTTTCCACTTGTGGCTGTTCCTATTCCCCTTCTGGTACCCCTATAATTCAGATGTAGGAAGCTTTAAAGATGTCCTGGAGGTTCCTAAGCCTCTCCTCATTTTTTTGAATTCTTGTTTCTTCATATTTTTCTGTTTGGTCATTTTTTCCTTCCTTCTGGTCTGCTCCCTTGATTTGAGTCCCAGTTTCCTTTCCATTACTATTGGTTTCCTGTGCATTTCCATTCATTTCAATTAGTTTAGCTTTCATATATTTCTCTAATTTGTGACTAAAATCAACCAGTTCTGTGAGCATCCTGATCACCAGTGTTTTGAACTGTGCATCTGATAGTTTGGCTGTTTCTTCATTGCTTAGATTTATTGGCTCTGGGGCTCTGAGTTCTACTTGAGCCATGTTTTTATCTGTTTGTGCCTTTTATGTATGAGGAGAGGTGCCTTAGGCATTCACCAGGGCAGGGCCACCCAGGTGGCTGGTTTGTGATGCTGTATGTGGGGGTGGGGGTCAGAGAGGGAGCAATGGTGGTCCTTACCACTTTCCCCGCCTGTTTATCTGAGAGCAAATGTGAGAGCCGGCTGCCCTGCGCCATGTGGTCTCAATGCTGGCCTCTTCACTGTTTATTTGCGCACAAATGCTAAACCGGCAGATAGCCAGCCGTGCCACGCCTCTTCCCTGTGTTCGCCTGTAGCTAGCCCGCATCTGGGATCTGCGCCCTTGGCTGCCTGTGCACCTGGGGGTTGGGGGATCTTCCCTGCCTGACCCACTGTGATCCCCGCTTTGCCCCTCTCACTGGTTTAGCTGAGTGGTTCTTGTTTTTGGACTCTGTATTGTCAGTTTTCTGTGTGGTTTGGTGGAATTTATTGTTGTTAAAACTTTATTGTTTTTAGGTTTGGTTGTGGGAGGACGCAAAGTGTTTCCACCTATGCCTCCATCTTGGCGGGAGTTCTGGAATCTATAGAATTTTCTATGTACACTATCATGTCCTCTGCAAACAATAACAGTGTTGCTTTCTCTTTTCTTATCTGGATACCTTTTATTTCTTTTTCTTGTCAGATTGCTGTAGCTGAGACTTCCAGTAATATGTTTAATAGGAGTGGTAGAAGCGGATATCGTTATCTTGTTTCTGGTGTCAGTGGAAAAGTTTTATGATTTTGTCCATGAGTATGATATTAACTATTGTTCTCTCATATATGACCTTTATTGGGTTAAAAAATACTTCCTGTGTTCCCACTTTGTGGGGTGTTTTTATCATAAATGGGTGCCACACCTTATCTAATGATTTTTCTGCATCTATTGATATGATAATATGATTTTTGTCTCTCCTTTTTTGATGTGATATATTACACTTATTGATTTGTGAATACTGTACTATCTTTTGCATCCTTGGGAAGAATCCCACTTGATCATGGTCTATGGTCTTTCTAAGGTACTACCAGATGTGGTTTGACAATATTTTGTTGAAAACTCAAGTGTCGATGTTCATCAGCAATATTGGCCTGTAGTTGTCTTTCTTTGTTGTGTCTTTATCTGGTTTTGGGATTAGGATGATGCTGGCTTCATAAAGAGAGTTTGGGGGGATTTTCAGCCAAGATGGAGGCATAGGTGGAAACACTGTGCCTCCTCACGCAACCAAGTTTAAAGACAACAAACTTTTAGTAACCAAAACACAGCCAAAACACAGAAAATTGAACTGTATTGAAGTCCAACAACAAGGAGCCATTCACCCAGACCAGTAAGAGGGGCATAGTCAGCAGCAGAGTGGGGTGGGGCAGGAAGATCTGCCTGACCAACCCAGGAGCACAAGCAATGGTTGATGGATCCCAGGTGTGGGGTGGCAAGGAGCAGACCCAGTGAGGGCGCAAGGCTGCTGGCTGACTGCAGTCACACATTTGCGCATATTTGCGTGCAGATAAACCAAGTGAAGGAGTGAAAAGTGAGATAGACCACTCAGGCTAGGGTCCCAGTGACAGGAATTAGAGCCTGAAAGCACCAATTGGGAAGACTTTCAGGGATGAGGTGCTGGAAGAGGATCCCAGGCTCACAGAGAGTTTGCTGGAAAGACCCACAGGGTCCTGGAGGGTACACAAACCCACA